CCTCCCTTCCACCTTTACGGTTTGAAGGTCAAAAGCCAATGCGACCCTAACATTTCGCCCCTGGTCAACCACACCACCACTAAATAACCCCCTCATTATCTTCCGACGCGGAAGTCCCCCTACCCTGGGGTCACCCCCCTCGTCCCAACACCCCTGTACCCCGCGCACTCAGCTTTTGGGTCTCCCTATCTACAAACTACCCTACCTAAACTGCCCCATGGACCCCCTCCCATCGCCTTCCCCCTTGTAAACTTCAAAATAAGTCGCCCAGATGGTTACTGTCCTTCCTGAACAAGTTCCACGACATTGAAAGTCCCAACATTCCTGCGGCCCCTTATCTCGAGTAAAGGAAAGGCCCAGAATTTGAGGGGTCCCAGCGCATTTAGTCAGGGGGGTATTTGTAGGATTTAGACCCAGCTGAATTGGGCGGTAACCCACAGGGGTGTTTTTGAACATGACAAGTAAGACCTCGCTTGAAAATAAAAAATTGAGGTTTAAATTAAGTGGGGTGGTGACCAGGCAAAAAATGTTTAGGGTCCGACAGGCCCCTTTGGACCCCCCCTTCACCCCCCACAGGCCCTTGACCCGGGAGACAAAAAGCGTCTTCCGACCCCAGGGTTTTCAAAGGAACCTTCACCCCCCCTAGGGCTGAACGGGGAAGACGAGTTTCTTTCGACCGGCGTTCTAATGGGACCTCCCACCTAAGGGTGAAACCGGGGAGAACGAGGGTCTACCCGACCCCCGGGGGTTTACATTGGGGAACTCACTCAAGGTTTTGACCGGGAACGCAAGTCCCCTCCCCGACGGTTTCTTATGGACCCTTCACCTAGTTGACGGGACGACGAGTTCTCCCCGACCCCCGGCTTTATGGACCCCCTCTTCACCCTAAGGGGGTTTGACGGGAGACCGGCAGGTCCTCCCCCCCCGACGGTTTATGACTCCACCCCTAGGGGGGGGGTTGAAACACCCGGGGAGACCGGAAGTCGACGGGTTCTAATGGGACCCCCTCACCTAGGGCTGACGGGGGAAGACGAGTCTCGACCGGGTTTATGGCTCACCTAAGGTGACGGAGACGAGTCTCGACCGGGTTCTATGGGCCTCACCTAAGGTAACGGGAGACGAGTCTCGACGGGTTTATGGACCTCAGCACTAAGGTGACGGGAGAGACGGTCTCGACCGGGTTTATGGACCTCACCTAAGGTAACGGGAGACGAGTCTCGACCGGGTTTATCCGCGACATCACCTCACCATGCTAGCGAGGAACGACGACGTCTCGACCGGGTCAACACACACAATTATGGACATACACACAACCAACACACATATAAAAAACCGCGCGCACAACACGACACAGAAAGAGTCCCGACCACAGAGAGATAAATAACGAAACCACACACAACACCTAAGGTCAACCGGGACGACGCAGTCCGACGGGTTTTAATGGACTCCACTAAGGTGCTACGGGAGACGAGCTCTCGACCGGCGTTTATGGACCTCACCTAAGGTGCGCGGGANCTCCCTACTTCTACTTCCGCTGCTTGCAGCTCGTTCCTCCAGTTTTTCGCAGACAAAATTAACGCCATTAACCACTCCTTCTCAGCTCCATCTGATATACAATTATCTCCCCCAACCTCCACCGCTACCACTTCTCCCCCCATCTCCCTTGACCTCCTGACTCCTCCTCCCCAGTGCCGCCTCTCCCAGTTCAACCTGGTTACCACACTTGAAATACTCCATCTGATCGGTTCCTCAAATCAAACAACCTGCTCCATTGACCCTCTACCTACTCCTCTCCTGAAGTCCTGCCTCCCCGTACTCTGCCCCTATCTTGCTAACCTTTTCAACTCCTCGCTGTCCGATGGAACCGTCCCTTCTGCCTTCAAAACTGCTGCCGTTACTCCAATCCTCAAAAAACCCGGTCTTGATCACTCCGCCCTCACTAATTACCATCCCATCTCCAACCTACCATTCCTCCAACACATTGTAGCCAAACAAATTCACTGCCATCTCCAAAGCAACCAGCTCTATGAACCCCTTCAGTCTAGATTCCGTCCTCACCACAGTACCTCACAAACCTTCTCACCCCTTATCAACCCCCACGGTCCCTCAGATCCACCGCAGCCGGACTCCTATCCATTCCCACATTCACACTCTGCAGCTTTGGGGACAGAGCCTTCTCATTGGCAGCTCCTAGGCTCTGGAATTCCCTCCCCCAAGATCTTTGTGACTCTGAGTCCCTCACAGTCTTTCAGTCCCAACTCAAAACACATCTTTTAAACTCTGTCTACCCATAAGCCCCACCCCCCGTCCCCTCTCAATCAACTTCCTCTTGACTAATTTTCCTTTTATTTTATTTTACTCTATTCATTTGTTTGGCTGTCCTTGTTTGTCTACCCTCCCTCATACTGTAAAGCATCTTTGAGTTTTAGAAAAGCGCTATATAAATATAATGTATTATTATTATTATTATTACCAACCTCTATTATTTCAGCAGCACTTAAAAAAATGTTCAAACTATTCCGTCCCTATTCCAGACATCGGCACATTTTTGTTCACCTTTTAGTGTTTAATGATAAAGTTGAGCTTTCACTCCCTATGCTGACTTTATGAAAGGAATACCAGTTATTTGTACATTTATGCTTTGTCATACCAGTAAACATGGGAAATGCAGTGAACAGTTATAGTTTTTAAGGTCAATATACAGAGGAAACTGACAATACAGCATATTGCATAAGATATTGATAAATACAGGAATTCAATGTTAAATCTGAATGAAAAACACTTTATATTAATAATATATCTACAGTACCTGCACAAATCTAGTTTAATATGTTGTTATTTTGATTTTCTTTGTTCTATGTCCCCGTTCTTCTCAACTTTGCATGGCCAGTATCCTGAAAGCCGAGATAACTTATTATTAAAATAAAACAACAGAACCAACAGCCATCCCTATAGAGCTTCCCATGTCCTACAAAATCAAAATGTATGTCCTCCAAAAGTCTGTGACATCCACTTTTTAAAACATTGGATTGAGCCATAGCAAGTAATTATTTAAAAATATATGACTAAAATATGTACTAGGCGAAATATTTAAGAGTTAAGAAATTAAACTAGTCTGTGAACTTTGGTGGAAAAAATGTGCACTGGCAAACAGTTTCTACAAATCTTTGGCATGTTTGTGCTCCAGCCAACACATGCTTTTACTGCTGCACCAAAGATAAGATACAATAACTACAATAACAGAGTATAGCAAACTTTTTCTGGAGACAAACTGAGATATATTACATAATTATTTTCATCTACACTAATGAAGGTGCAAACCAAAGGAATATTAAACAGAAGACGTTCCTAGATTAAAATGATAAAACTTTTGTTTCATAGAATTGTAACAACTACACACACAATTACTCTAATCCTCGTGGTTCCTTATTCATCTGTCTTTTCTCCAGTTTTAGCCATTTACCACTTGACATTTATGCCTTGCCATTAAACACTGTCATTAAATGAGCAGCGCTGTTTTTAAAAGTCCTGGACCAACATACTCACCACGGCTCAGGAATCACTTTTTCCATCCATTTGGCCCTCACATCCAACTGGTTGCACAGATACTTCACCGGAGGATGATTAAGCTGGAGAGAGAAAGAGAACGTCACCCTGAGCAGATTTTCCCAATAGAGACAAATCTGCGAGGAGTTCCCTGGCTGTTACACGTGTTACTGTTTAGGCATGGCTTCCACTGACTGGATGTCAACAACTTGTTCAAATATAAAGGACTCAAAGCCTTGATGTCCAGTTCTAATGCAGCCAACTTTTTAAAAGCTTTCGTCACCAGCTTTTGCTATCCATCCATCTTTAACTGTGATCATTGCTCATTGTTCAAGAGACATGCTGTGTTTAATATATAGTGGGAACAACAAGTTTTAAGAAAACAAGGCCAATAAAAATGTATTGTTGTTGCACAAAAGCATTTCTCTACTAGCTAAATAATTCTCTTAAAAAGCATTTAGACCATCAACAAACAATTAAACTCTCCAATAAATCTCAACTTGGGAGATTGTTAGGGTTAGGAAACATCAAACACTGTTACCTTGTAAGTGAAAAGACTGGGATATATAACTGTCCATCAGATTACAATCTCCTATTTAAATTATTCAAAGCTACAAAGTAAATAAAATATTGTTTTGACTAAGAGAGTTACATATCCGACCACTATCAGCCCGTCCACACGGCGGTGTGTGTTGAAGCTTCAACGCTTCTGCCCATTCACTTTGAATGGGGTGACGTCACACTTTGCCGAACTGCATTGTGGGAGCGTTGCTTTGCTTTGCTCGCGTTGATCGCTTCAAAAGTTGAGCAATGTTCAACTTTTGAAGCTTCGGTGGAAGCGTCAGCCAATCAAATCATATGCCAGTACAAGCTCTAGCCAATCAAACCGCTGCTTGTGTGTCTGGGGCGGGAGATTCATGTGATTGGTTGTTGGTCGAGTTTCAGACATGCCCGCCGGCAAGCTTCAACGCACGCTGCCGTGTGGACGCTGCGTATCAGTCTCTTGCACCAGCCCAACACTCTTGAAGACTGTTCTCAATCTGGCTTTCAGATCCTGCATGGAAAAGTCACATTATTTGAGTATCCTGATGGAGAATCTCTGCTTTTGGCCGCTCTGACCACAACTAAACCAGCTATAGCCCAATGAAAGGCAGGGTAATTGAAAGCAGCTCTAAATGGAGACATTATGACATCAGCTAAGCCCGCAGCACTGAAAGGGAGGATGTTTGGAGAGCATTGGTGGAACAAGCCAAATGCAGTGGTTGTTCTTTCCATTTTCTTCTGTGTGTTTGGATTTAAACGTCCACATGAAACTCACAGAATCATTACTCCATGATGATGCCAGACTTAGCGCCTGCGTTTTATCACTACTGCTCATTGTTCCTGAAAGATGCCCTTTTGTTGTTCTATCGCACACACCATCGAGCATCTCTTTTCTCTATCTGTGTTTCTAGGCCTGCCCCATCCGTTTGCCATCACTGTGTTTGAGGACAGCCTATACTGGACAGACTGGCACACCAAAAGCATCAACAGTGCCAATAAATTCACCGGCAAGAACCAGGAGATCATTCGCAACAAGCTGCACTTTCCCATGGACATCCACACCCTGCACCCCCAGAGGCAGCCTGCAGGTCAGTACTCAGTCATGCTGGAGGCCAACTTGAGTTTAAAGTTTGTAAAATATCCATCAAATCTGAGTGATAGCGGCGAGGATCTATGCGGGGATAAGAGGAAAGAAGGGAGTTGGATAAAGTGTGTTTTTTATATTATGTTTATCAAAGGCTAGTACTATCATGGACATACATGAACATATATCTTCTGCCATTGTTGTTGAATAATAGCAAGGTCACAAAGCTGCCACTTGAATCAGGTCTATCAATCACATCACACAGAAGGATTCAATATGTGCTCCTCTTTCTACGAACAGCACCATGAAATGGCAAAAGTCAACATTGCTAATCCTTTTATTTAGGTTTTGCAGTAATATGCAAAAACGCAACATTATTTGTCGATATTGCAATATTGCATACTGTAAATGTAAACATACCAGACTTTTCTAGATGTTTTATTTGCCATTACCCACATAGTCATTATATCCATATTGCTGATTATTATTTATCAATCTCATTGCGTAAATATTTATCCCTTCAGTATTGTCGCAATATTGATACAAAGGTATATCTTTTTTGATAAACAAAATATTGTGATATTAAATAACTTCTAATCAGGTAACATACAGTAAAAGCACTGACAGTAAAATAACTTACAGTAGGAAGGATGTAGAGGGAGAAATTAATAATTTCAGCTGGAGTTCACAAAAAAAAGAGAAAGCAAATAGTGTCCATCATCGTGTGAATTCTGTCTGAGATGTTTTTTTTGTGAGTCATGGGTAAAAACAATTGATCTGCTTTTGTATGAAGTTTGCAGACTAAAGCAGTAATAAATGTTGCCATGCAGCAGGCTGGAGGCCAAAATGTTTAGCAACGAAACAGATTTCAGAGGGTGGTGGATGAGCTCGATGAAGACAGACGTGAAAAACTGGAACTTTGATTGAACACAGAAGTGAAAACTTTTCCCATATGGTGGCAAACCCAGCGCTGATGGAATGATTTGTTGCACTTGTGTTACACCCTGTGGGGAACTGGCCTGTTGAGGTGTTTTATCAGCATGATGGCAAAACGTGTGTTCTCTGCTAACAAACCATGTTGAACTTGAGTTCTAGCCAAGAGAAAATGTTGATAATCATGCTGATAAGGTTTTATAACAGCTAGAAACTAAACAGAGAGCTACGATGGCAGAGGGAGGTCAGTCCTTTTGTTTCGCTGTAGATTCAGTGAGTCATGTGAGCTCATGTGCAAGTGGAATAGATTATAACTCTTCATCAAGTGTACAATTCAGATCACGAGTGAAATCCAGACACACACTGTGACTGATTTACTTTGGAAAAAACAAAGAACTCAAGCTCTGCTGTTTGTTAAAATGGAAAAAAATGTGATTTAGTTTAATGGTTCACAAAAGAGAAGCAGACATTCAACATCGAGAGTGAGAAGGCCTGACATGCAACCAAAGTCCCAGATTGGCCACCAAAATATTATATTATAAATATTTGTGCAACAGCTGAGACACACACACACACAAAATGATGCCTTATACATAAGTCTACAATGAATGGTTAATGAGTTATTAAAAGGGGGCATGGCTTAAGAACAGGGAGCTCGGCTAACCTACACCGATGAAGAAGAACTCTTTGCTGAAGCCAATAATACTCACAAGAGTCTAAAAATAGGTGGCATTAACACAAACACACACCTTTTAACCCAACCACTTGACCTCTATGTAGAGAAATCAGGCAGCCAAAGAATAGGGACATTTTGGTGGACCAACAGAGTGTATAAAATAGCCTCTTCTCAAAGTGTCTAACCACATAGAGCATCACATACTGAGCTGTGTCTCTGTCTCTCCTGCAGGTGGCAGGAACCGCTGTGGCACCAACAACGGGGGCTGCAGCCACCTGTGTCTCCCCAGCAACAAGACCCACACCTGCGCCTGTCCCACCGGCTTCAAGAAGGTGGACCACTCCAACTGTGCAAGCGGTGAGTCCCTCACCATCTGGATGTTAATAATATGTCATATTTGAGTGAATGTTGCATATCTATTTATTCACAAAGCAATTAATGCCAACAACAGCAAGTGTAGTCAGAATGAAATGTGCATGCAGAGGATTATAAGACATCCACTGAAGTGACATTTTATCTGATGGAAAGTTAAATTACATCATGTTACGATTCAGCGCCGCTAAACAATTCCTGAACAACAATTTAATTAGTTTGAATAGTTTTTAATTAATCCTTTTCTTTAGTTGGTTCATTACCCTGTGACATTTGCAGCACTTTAAATATTGTTAAAGTTTACACAACGTGTAGTCATAAAAAACATCTACTATATTATACCATTATAATAATATATAATATAATCATGTTAGAGGAAGGGTTATCAGTTACGATGTTTATCAGTGAGTGTGTTTGAGCTGCTTATTGAGTGTGTGTATTGTTATTCTGTGTTTACTGTTGACCCCACTGTTAAACCTAGAGACTGACAGAAGACCTTTGGTCTTTAATCAGGTCTTGACAAGTTCCTGCTTTTTGCCCGAAGGACGGACATCCGACGAATCAGCTTTGATACAGACGACATGTCCGATGATGTCATCCCTCTGGCTGACGTGCGTAATGCCGTGGCTCTGGACTGGGACGCCAAAGACGGCTACATCTACTGGACAGACGTCACCACAGACTCCATCAACAGAGCGCTGTGGAACGGCACCAAGCAGGAGGTCAGTGTCCTCTGCAGTCTGAATTAATTCCATCATTTCTCATTTGTCCTCAATTTAGGAGAGGGCAGTAGCAGGATATAATATTGTGCAATACTGCCATCTACTAGTGCTAATGGAAAAGTGCAACAGTAATGTAGTAGAGTTTATATTGAAACTTTGTTGTCCCTGTTTCTCCAGGTGGTGGTGGACACCAGTCTGGAGAGCCCAGCAGGTTTGGCGATTGACTGGGTGACCCACAAGCTCTACTGGACCGATGCTGGTAAGCAACATCATTTCACATTGTTCACGTTTAACCTTAAAACATATTTCTGATTTATAAAAATAAATGATTGCACATAGCGGTGGGTGCTCTTGGATTTCAACCATTTATAACATATTGGGATTCTCAGGTACGGATCGTATTGAGGTATCTAATGCAGATGGGAGCATGCGGACTGTGTTGATATGGGAGAACCTGGACCGGCCCAGGGATATCGTCGTCGACCCGATTGGAGGGTGAGAAGACGAAAGTTAAAACATAAAAACCTCACCTTCGCATGGCAATATTTTTCTTACTGGTGTTATTATTTCAACATAGTTTCATGTACTGGACCGACTGGGGGGCCAACCCAAAGATCGAGCGTGCAGGAATGGACGCCTCTAATCGGACCGTCATCATCTCGTCTAATCTGACGTGGCCCAACGGGCTCGCCATCGACTACGAGACACAACGCCTGTACTGGGCCGACGCTGGCATGAAGACCATTGAATTTGGCAACTTTGATGGTTCCGATCGACAGGTAGCGGGTGTTGATATGACAATATAAAGTTATCTTTATTCCCATAAAATCAATATATTCATGCTGATTTGTCTGAGAAAGTCTGTAAAATTAACATTTTAAATAGTGTTCAATTTAAAGTATTTTACATGACAATTTAGAAAGTATTTTGTTTTGAAGAATTGTTTATCCTTGGTGGGATCGGCTTTCAAGTTTATGTTCACAATCAAACTATACACAGATGTTTAGAGATGTTTACTTTCTATTATTTGCCCACAGGTTTTGATTGGCAGCCAGCTGCCCCACCCTTTCGGCCTCACTGTGCACGAGGACAAGCTGTACTGGACGGACTGGCAGTCAAAGAGCATCCAGAGTGCGGACAAGCTCACCGGATTGGGAAGACACACGCTTGCAGAAAACTTGGAGAACCTCATGGACATCCACATGTTCCACAGACACCGGGAGACAGGTCTGTGTTCATCCATGTGCTGGAACAAGAATGAAGCACTGTCAGCTAGCATCAGGAAAATAATAAAAACTTTAATTGTTTTGGGTCTGTGCTGCAACCCTTTAGATTAAATTAGATTCAAATGAATGAAACAATGACAATTGGAACTCTCAAGCTGTAATTTGAGGATGTTTAGATGCACATCAAATAAACAGTGTAGAAACGCTAGCCATTTATACTAGCTAATTACAGTTATTTGCCCAGACTTCGCAAAAGAGCCTCAAGGAAAGAAGGAGAAACAAAAAACTGCAGTTTAAAGCCTCTCAAATTCAGCTTTTCTCTGTTTAATATGAAAATAAATATCTTTAGGGTGACAACACAATTACTTAAATTAAACCTTAGTCTTTGAAAAATGGGTGTACAATTTTCTGACATGTTATAGACAAAAGATGAATTGATTAATCGAGAATATAATCGGCAAATAGCTAGTTTCAGCCTTTCTTCATACTTACCTAAAACTCATAGTCATTATTCCATTTCAAATCCAATGTGCAGCAATAACAGGGACATACATTCCTGTTGGACATGTGTAGTCTCTTGTGACAAAGGGAAAAAAGCCTCCTGTCACTTTCTACTTTTCAGTTTTTTGCCGCCTTTCCTCCGAGCTCAGATCCCGTGTCTGTGCTGACAGTGAGGGGATTACAGGTAAACTGAACCCAGATCACTGGCAGAGAGCCTTGGGGGGCACATACCAAACTGAAACCTCACTGATCTCATCCATCTCATGTGTGGGGCTTTCCCCAAGTTCCCTTCAGGGAAGCTGTGTTTTTGTTTCCCCAACCTTCCCCATCCCCTATCCATTCCTTGCCTTGAAGCTAGCCTAGAAAGTAGGATGGTGGATGAGCTGAGTTCCTTTGTGTGTCTCCACCTATAGTTCGTAACCCGTGTGCGGAGAATAATGGAGGCTGCAGCCACCTCTGTCTCCTGGCCCCTGCTCCCAAAGCCTCCAGCTGTGCCTGTCCCACCGGCATCAACCTGCAGACGGATGGAAAGACTTGCACACCTGGTACAAACTCCCACTTCTGTGTCAAAAATAATGCAGTTATTGTTCTTTGTTCATCCATGTTTTCAGTGTAAACAACACCTTCTTGTTAATAATGTTAATGCTTTTAATGGCGCTGGCCACAATGCAAATACCTTATTATATGACTTGTATATGTTTGGCTTACATCAACTGTAACTTATTGAGCTCCTAGGCAACATGTGTCTGCATGAGCAAAGGCATAAAGGGAGATGTAGTGCAAAGTCCCAAAATATATGAATCTCAAAAGCAAATACTTAAAGGGAAATACAATGAAAGCGACAAAAACTCTTGACTAAGCCTGCAAATAGGAGATCAAAAGTTCAAAATGTCAAAAAGTTGTCAACCTTTGTACTCTGAAGGAAAGGTGCTGTGATGTGTGTTGAAATATGGTTTGTGTGTGTACGCAGGGATGAGCAGCTTCCTAATCTTTGCCCGGAGGACAGACATCAGGATGGTCTCTTTGGACATCCCCTACTTTGCTGATGTGGTCCTGGCCGTCAATAGCTCCATGAAAAACACCATCGCCATCGGGGTCGACCCCAAAGAAGGTATGCCTCAATACGTTTAGAAACGCTTGTTTAAAGGTCACCTATCATGCTATTTTTAGGCAATAGCATAGGTCTCAGATATATAAGAAAATATAAAAAACATGTCTATGAAGCGTTTTCATCAACCCCAAAAAAACAGATCACCCATTCTAGCCTCATATCCCTCTATTTCTCTTCCTGTTACAAAAGTGCTGATTCTGGGCATAAAGCTTCTTTTTTTTTTTATACTGAAAAAAATAAGAGGGGGCGGAGCTTATGACGGCTCATGCGGGACCTGGCAGATACTAAAATGTCTAAAATGCTGCGGTGATGAAACGCAAGGATTATTAGATCAAGGATTATTTCTGAAACAGTATGGAGCTCAAAGGCTTTCTCTCTTGCGGGTTTACCACAAGGTGAGTTCCTTTTTAAAATCCTGCTTCTTACACATGCTCTCTCCAGTACAGCTTAGCTCTGAGTGTTAGAGATGCCTGCTAATGTAAACAAAGACTATTATGTCCAAAACACGTCGAGAATTGTTTCTGATACAGCGACGTTTCTGATAGTGCCGTGGGTCCACCATCCGATATGACTTAATATACGTCATATCGGATGGCAAATCTGGATCAGCTCCATTGTAACCCCGTTTTTAGAGATTTGCGCACGGAGGAAAAGAGAGAGGGTTTTATTTTCTGACACTTTGTGAGTTCCCTTACACACCGGGGACACATATTTATGTATAAAAGACATAAAAAAGTGCATTTTGCATGATAGGTCCCCTTTAAACGAAAAGCAAGGGATATAGAAATGGAAATTCTTACATGTGTGTGTGGCGCCTCCTGCAGGAAAAGTGTATTGGTCTGACAGCACACTGAAGAAAATCAGCAGATCCTACATCAACGGAAAATCACAAGAGGACATCGTATCCACAGGTGAGGGGGTTGGCTTACATGTACGAGGGGGTTTAACTCCGCCCTATGACGACTCTAACTCCCCTCTCTTTGTCTCTCTTTACGTAGGGTTGGTGACCACCGATGGCCTGGCTGTGGATGCTGTTGGGAGGAAGATCTACTGGACGGACACAGGAACTAACCGCATCGAGGTCGCCAACCTGGACGGCTCCATGAGGAAAGTTCTCGTCTGGGAAAACCTGGACAGCCCTCGAGCCATCGCCCTCTACAATGAGATGGGGTGAGGATGATAGAGCGTGATGAGGAGAATTGGGGGAAATCTTTGATAACAGTCCTGAATTTTCAACCAAGTTCTTATACCGCACTGTGAAAACAGTTAAAAGTCTGGCATTCAAAACATGACCTTAGTAAAAGTATGAAACGATTATCAGCAGAATCTAAGTATAAAAATGTAAAGTAGTCAGGCAGTAAAATACTTCCTGTCAGTTTTACTACTATATGTGCTATTTTTAGATTAATAGTACTGCTTCATTGGTGTGAATGTTGCTTTTCACTGCTGTTAATGAGTTCTTTTTTTTTTATTCATTTTTAACTTCTTTGTATTCAGATGGGTAGTTTCATCTACTGCAATTCATCATGTCTAAAAGATATGGATACAACACAAAGCCTTGCTGTCCTGTGAGAAACATATTACGCTAAAAAGTCATCTTTTAATTGGCTCAATAAAACAGCACTTTTTGTAACAACAATGCATTTTTTCAGCAGATTCAAGAGGTTTTCAAATTGTTTATTTATCTTGAGATGAAGGAGCAATTTATTACCACCTAAGGGAACACTTTATCATCCAGTTTACACCCTAAATCAACACATCTGGAGATACCTCGTTTTCACTGAAAAGAAAGGGGATACAAAACTAAAGTAACTAAAGTTGTAGACAGATGTACTAAAAAATGCAATATTTACCTCTGAAATGTAGTGAATTGGAATTATAAATGATCATTAAACAAATGCTAAAGTAGGGCACCTCAAGTGAAGTACATTGCTTGCTTTTATTATGTTTATTGTATCCATCTGACACCAAGAACAATTTCTAGTACAGTATGTGAACTTACTTAACATTAAATGGTGTTCTCCATCTTTAATCACTCTTTCACTCTCTCTCTCTGACAGGTATATGTACTGGACAGACTGGGGAGAGCATGCTAAGCTGGAGCGCTCTGGGATGGATGGTTCCGACCGCACTGTCCTCATCAGCAACAACCTGGGCTGGCCCAACGGCCTGGCCATCGACACGGCCGGCTCCCAGCTTCTGTGGGCCGACGCTCACACTGAGGTCAGCAGCTGTGACCCTAACGACCCCTCACATTGATTATCAGCTCTTAAAACATATATTGTTACAAGATGAAAAGCCTTTGTCTATGGGTTTTCTATGTTGATGGAGCTACTTTAACACTGATTGCCAGTCACTCTGATCGAAGGAACTTAAACAAATATTTTTTACTTAAAGGTCACCTATTATGCAAAATCTAATTTTTCATGAATTGTATACATAAACATTTGTCCCCTCTGTGTAAAGAGATTCAGAAAGTTTCAGGAAAAAAGATTTGCTCACTTTTTGTCCTGATCCATTTATATAAAAAAATCTGATTTTGGCCACTTTATGATGTCATAACGATTTATTGGGTTGTGTAACCATTAGCCAATAACCAACCAAGGTAACACCCCCCACCTTATCACCCGAATCTCCTCCTAGAGCCCCATTGTGTTCCAAATATCTCTCAGAGGGGCGTGGGGAGTGGCTCCTTATTTTCATCTAAAGTAACAGACAGAGAATCAGCACTTTTGAAACAGTGCTGAAACAGAGGGGATTATGGGACGCTACAATGGGTGATCTGTTTGGTATTTCCAGCCAAACACTTCAGAGACATCTTTTGTATATATCTGAGACCTATAATATATTGATGGAAAACTAATAATAGGGGACCCTTTAAACACTTTATTTTTAGTATTTAACAGTATTAAATGCAGTTCTTCTGTATTATGTTGCCCAGAGTCAACTGATATAAATGCCATCTATTTCTCTTTTTTTTACCAACATTTTTAGGTAATATCGCCTGGACTATTATACAACATCGGTATCAGAACCAGTTTCTTCCTCCATGAATCAGAATAGACTTGTTTTGCAGCAATAACAAATTATTATGTAATGTCATACCAAGCTTTTCAAATTGTAAAGATTTGCTGCTCTCTATCTTTCATCACCATTGTTTACCTCAAACTAAGTGCTGCCTTAAGAACACCGGCTAGACGTCTGGAAAATGAAATCATGACATAGACAGCTCTGAATACTGCAAGCTGATGGCCCTGACGATTCATAAAATAAGAAAAGCTTATTTATTATTTAGCCACATCCTACAACAGCTAATCAAATGAGTCAGAACCCAAACACTGAAGCAAATCATGACCGCCGTTATACATTTGAGGATGTTTTTTTAATTAGGTATTGATGTTCTACTTGTCTCTGGTGTAGGTGATTTAACTCCTTAACTGATGTAATTCTAAAACTAAAGTCTTTAAAGTTTTGGTTGGCTTAAATGAGCATCTTGAAGACATCACCTCGGGCCTTTTTCAATACTTTACGACATTTTAAACACTAACAGGTTGGTCGATAATAAAAAGAAATCATTATTTGCAGCACCAGAATGGATAACAGGCTCCTCACAGCTCCACAGTAAAGTATTTTCTCTGGGTGTTTGTTGCTGCCGTCGGCTGTAGGAGTGATGAAGACCTATTGAGGGTGAGGTCACCGCGCTTGAACGCATCACGCAGACAATGCCAGGAGTTGATATAGAAAGAAGTTCAACACTGACTATCCTCCAATGTAAATAAAAGTGCTTTTCAGTGCAGGCGGCGATTCAAAAGAACATTTTTCTTATTTTCCTGACCTTCAGTGCTGTGCTCCATAACTGAATAACAGGCTGTTAGTGTGTATATGTTTAAAATGTGTATCTGGATGTGATTCTGTGTCTACGTCCATTAAAGTTATGTTTCGTGAGCTGCATCTTGTTTGTGTGGGAGGTTGTTTAAGCCCGCATCCAGCAACCACCACACACACTTTGTCAACAAGAACCTGCTGTTTTCTCATCCGAGCGCTTTTCATCACAGAAACACACCGAGAGACTTCCCCGTCTAAATGTCCTCAAGATGTTGCTCTCTACATCCGCCCACCAGGCCCCGGACACCATCACTCTCTGTGCTTCCAGTAAATATTCAAGGACTGTCATGTAATGTTTGGTTTAATTTGCCGTTAGATAAATGCACTCTGTTTATAAACAGTGGTGGATCGGAGCGGTAAACGTATCCTATATGCAGGACAAATGAATCATGCTGTATGTGTCTGGCTGCATTTATGTGTTTTTATTGATTTAAAAGAGAAAGACGAGCCCGCGGCAGTAATGGAAACTTGTATCAGCACTTTATCACTGTTGGAAATGGGAGGGCAGCGTGCAGTAAAGCGTAGGATATTGGCTTTTCTCTTCTTCTCTGTGCGCTGTTGTTTGTTGATGTGATGGCTTGTTGTCTCCCGTGAATCTTTAAGGCGTCATCAAAAATACATAGAGTTGATAGTTGAAGCAGAAAAGTTTTTATAAAATGTATCTCCCAGTGGATATGATTTAAAAACTCCTGAGCTTTGGGTAAGGCAAGGCAAGTTTATTTATATAGCACCTTTCAACACAAGGCAAGTGCTTTAAAAAGCATAGATAATAAAATAAACATTAAAAGAAAAAATACATGGATAAAAGTGACAGTGCAGTTTAAGATATGAATAGTTCAATTAAAAGCTGCGGGAAAAAGAAAAGTCTTCAGCCTGGATTTAAAAGTAGTAAGAGTTGCAGCGGACCTGCAGATTTCTGGGAGTTTGTTCCAGATTTTTGGAGCATAATAACTGAACGCAGCTTCTCCATGTTTAGTTCTGACTCTGGGGACAGAAAGCTGACCAGTCCCTGAAGACCTGAGAGATCTGGATGGTTCATAATTTAGCAGTAGGTCAGAAATGTATTTTGGGCCTAAACCATTCAAAGCTTTATAAACCAGCAGCAGTATTTTAAAATCTATTCTTTGACACACAGGAAGCCAGTGTAAAGACCTCAGAACAGGAGTGATATGATCCACTTTCTTAGTGTTAGTGAGGACTCGAGCAGCAGCGTTCTGAATCAGCTGCAGCTTTCTAATGGATCTTATAGTGAGACCTGCAAAGACACCATTACAGTAGTCCAGTCTACTGAAGATAAAAGCATGTACAAGTTTTTCCAAATCCTGCTGTGACATTAGTCTTTTAATCCAAGATATGTTCTTTAGGTGATAGTAAGCTGATTTAGTAACTGTTTTAGTGTGACTGTTGAAACTCAGGTCAGAGTCCATGACTACACCTAGATTTCTGGCTTTATCTGTTGTTTTGAACATTGCAGACTGAAGCTCAGCGCTAACTTTTAAACGTTCCGCCTTGGCTCCAAAAACCATTACCTCAGTTGTATCTTTGTTTAATTGGAGAAAGTTCTGACACATCCAGTCATTGATTTGTTCAATGCACTTACTCAGTGTTTTTAACTGGAGAATAGTCTCCTGGTGAAATTGTTACGTAAATTTGTGTGTCATCCGCATAGCTATGGTAACTTATTTTGTTGTTCTTCATTATCTGAGCCAGTGGTAGCATGTAGACGTTAAAGAGAAGAGGCCCCAAGATGGAGCCTTGAGGAACCCCACATGTCATATTTGTGAACTCGGATGTGTATTTACCTATAGAAACAATTTTTTTTTCTGTCCTTTAAGTAGGATTCAAACCAATTTAGAACTGTTTCCGAAAGTCCCACCCAGTTTTCTAGTCGGTCTAGTAATATGTTGTGGTCAACAGTGTCAAACGCAGCACTGAGATCTAATAATACTCATTGAAGACCTTTACAAGAGCAGTCTCAGTGCTTTGGTTTGGTCGAAAGCCTGACTGGAACAAATCGAAACAGTTATTTGAGACTGCTCTTGTAAAGGTCTTCAATGAGTATTATTAGATCTCAGTGCNCACCTGAAACTCCTCCTAATCAGCGCTTTTGAAACAGGGCTGAAACAAAGGGGTTCATGGGATGCTACAATGCATGATCTAGCTAACACCAACAGAGACATGTTTTGTATATATCTGAGACCTATAATATATTGATGAAAAACAGTATAATTGGGGACCTTTTTAAACGGCCCATTTTGACATGTTTCTTTGCTGTAATGGTGTAAAACCGCATTGACTCATTACTCCACCTAGCTATTTTCCCCTTCTTATTTCCACCTTATTTAAATGTTTATCCGTTTCCCCTCCAGGCTGAGGCCCGGCCCGGGGCTGACCAGCCAATAGCTCAGCTCACCGTGTTTGTCTGGGTTGTTGATTTTGGCTCCGGCATGCACGCCATTTATCATCCCGCAGAATTCAGGTGCCTGCCTGACAGCCGCTCACTATTGGCTGCCCGAAACAGGAAGTGGAATCAATGACTCAGGCAGTGTGACCTCATCGCAGCCTAATTAGCAACAGACCCGTTTAATGAACAGCTGGAGCAAATGCACACGTCAGCGCTTTCCCCTTTTTTCTTTCCAGCTGTCGTTTTCTCGCTGCCCCGTTGCAGCTTTTTCCTCATCTTTTTCCCAAACTCTCACACTCTCTGCATCCCTTTTTTCCTCTTCCAATAACATTGTTTTACTTCTTCTTTCTATTTTCTCTTTTTTTCCTCTAATATTTTTATTCCTCCCTCTTTTTCTCGTTCTTGTTTTGAATCTATTTATTAATGTTGGCTTTGTTTCTCTCTTCCTCTCCAGCTCTCTCTTCTGCCGTTCCATTTTCTGTGTCATGCAGGTGTTCCTCCCCTCTGTCATTTCCTGCTCTGTTCAGCCACGCTTTTTCATTTCCCTCTCCTCTTACCCGTTCACCCCGCAATTTTGTTGTTATTTTTTTTTCAGCTTGTCGTCTACCCTTTTCGTTTTGCCTCAGCCAGGCAACATGGAGAACTTCATTAGCCCATTCTTCTCTGTCAGGCATGAAACCACATCCATCTTTCTGTGGAAGAGGCAGGGGTTATGACTCACACAAGCACAAACACACACACATGCACACACATACAGACACACAATAATACACTCTCCATTTGTGTTTCCCACCCTAATCAGCATATTTCATTTTCCCCTCAGAAGCTGCCAAATCAGCCCGTTGCATTTCAAATTCAATATGTAATTGGCTTCGATCTGAAATGATCCACATAAAGACGTTCATCTTTTCCTACTTTAAGTTTCCCCGAGCCAGAGACAAGCTCATAGTTTGTCTAATATAGTGTCCCGCACATGTCTTTGCCGTCTTTTCTCTCTCCAACCTTCAGTTGGAGTTGCAGTTTGGCATGAACCTCGGCCTGGAAACTGACAGGAGCACAGAAAGTTATCCAGATGTTAACATCTTTATGTCGTTGTACTTCTTACCCTCTTCGTCTTTTTGTTTATAGTTATCACTCTTTACTTTTCTCTGTTTGTGTTATTTTTTCTCCTCTTTCTTGCTCTTGTTTCCACCCGTCTCCCTGCTCTCCTGCCCATCATCCTACAGTCCTTTCCTCACATTTCATCAGTTTGTCTTCATCTCTCTCCGTCTGCTTTAGTTTTTTTTAACTCCATCTTATTCTTGACGTTGGCCGGCTCCAGCCTTACTCAAACACCAGTCAGTCATTACTTCCAGACTGAGCAGCTTTCTCAAATCATCGTCTAGTGTCCGCAGGGCCTCCTCTCCAGCTGCACAACCTCAGGTCAAATCATGTAGAAAGGCAGAATAATATCAAAAACGTGGCATGATTTAGATCACCATCTTGCCAGGTCATCATTGAAGCAAGGTGTGTTTTCAGAGTATACGGCAGTTTTTATTGGCTTCTAGTTTTTTGGAGTGTTTCCCACCTAATCTGTGTTTGTGATCTTGTCTGGTATGATAGTATTTGTTTGCAGAGGAAACTTTGGAGACAGGAACTCATTGCTTCCTGTCTAATAAACGACTGAATATGTTTTTACAGCTCTATTAGAAACCCTCTTAAAAGAGGCGCCATAGGTCTGAAAAATGGTTGGTGGGTTTTTGAGTGTTAAACTATAAAATTGACTTTATGTCAACATAACTGATACGCTACATTTCCTGGAAACTCTGCACAATAGCGCAGACATTTATCTACATTTACACTTAATGTCCATTCAGCAGCTCTACAAAGATCACCAATCATCGATTACACATTCTTAGTGTAAGACTTTTGATGTCCTTTATGTACGATTGCCCAGGAACAGTGTGTTCTCAAGTCATCCGCGCATGACTTGATGTGTCTGCAGCCTCCTCCTGTCTGAAGCGCCCACTGGGGGGCAGTATGATGTAAAGCAGCAGGCGGTGACCCTGCCAGCTCTCAGGAACGCCGACTCGCCTGAAGGTTCTCGCACATCAGCCTCGCTGTAGTGTCAAGCAAAGAAGGTCAAGCACACACAGCGTTTAAAAATGAATTAATCTCCCACTCGTTCTCTCTACTGTCTCTCTCCACGTTGAAGAGAGACGGTTGAAACGACAGCCTGTGTTCAAGAGCTTACACAGAATCCTCATTTTCACCTCACTTGATGGAGACGAGGTTATCAGACAGCACAGGGAAGTCTTCAGTGCAGGATGGCAGTTACAGGCCGAGCTTTCTCATACGCACATAGCTCTGACCTATAAATGCACTCAGCGAGCATATAGGGAATATGTGTATATGCAGCATTATGCTTTTTAAATGGATCCTGAGTCATGACCGAAGAAGAGAAGGGAGGAACAACAAGGAACACATACAGTCCCTCACAACCTTTCTTGAAATGAAGTTGACTGCCACTAAAGTAAAACCGCTATGATTTTACAGTGTAGATGCTGTGTGAGCTGTACTACTGTAATTGATAAACCCAATCCAAATCAGTTGTCAGCTTTTCCGAAGTGGTCCTCTTGCAGCGGTATTGTTTTACAGTCAATAATATAGCCGGATTGTTGTTTGCTGTCTCTCTTCCAGCAACTGATACCCTTTGTGGAGGATGACAACTCCAAACACGAGGATCGCTCGGCCGGCCAGAGCCGCCCCCCCACCGAGGAGAGGAGAGAAATCCTGGAGGTCAACAAGGTATCGTGTTCTGTTTCTCAAAAGCACAACACTGTATGGGTTACAGGATTTATTCCCAGCTTGCGGTAACTAAATAAAAAACGTAGTGGCTGATAAAAATAAAAAGAGATCGCAAGATTTCTATCATAGCTTAACATGATGTTGTTTCAGATAAGTGAAGTTTAAGCTCACCTCGGAAATTCATGCGCCCCCCAGACATTTCAAATCTACCTGAGCTTAAGCGAAAAAACTCTTAACATCATCTCAAAGATAAGAAAAATAATTAAGCGTGGAATTCATTACGGATTAGTAATTTTACTTTACATCTTAAACCCTTAAGCCTTAATAGGCCTCTTTTCATTTTTTGGGTAGCAACCATCCATATTATGAAGCTGTGGTTTCTACAAAACAAAATGTAGAGGATATACTCAATTACTGTTTGTTGATAGAGTGCGTGTGTATAAAGGGTTCAATATTCTGGTGAAAAAGGCAATTCTGATTTCCAAAGGTCTTATTTGGATGTAGATGCATTTAGATTCTTTGCTGGTGGTAAAAGATCTTTAGTTGTATTTGACACCTGCCCAACTCTCAATGGAGTTCACTGAAAGTCAGAAGGGGACATAGCACCAGGGGTGGGAGGTAGATGCTGAAGTCTCTGGATGTTGTTTGGCTAGCTTACTCTAAACTTGCTTAAATACATATTACAGAGTACCTATGGGCTGGTGTGATGGTTCCCAGTTTTAAAGCGGACCTGAGAATGTGTCTTTTTAAACCGTGAGCCTTGCTTAACCTCAGATTTGAGACGTGGATCACAGGGTATCCTTCGCTGTCATCAAAATAAATTGTTACATATTTTGTATATACCATATGCCAATAGACAGGGGTGCACATAACTGGTACGCAGGTACGGCAAACATCTGAAATGCCTACCGTCAATTGTCTCACTAAGCGCATTTGCGGACTTGTGAAGCATTTCCAGAAGGCGCTTCGATCACTGGACGACAGAGCCGGTCGCCATGCGCACAGACGGGGCTGCTGTTAACGTCGGTGTGTACAACGGAATTGTGCCACAACTTCCGGCGCGAGTTCTACGCGCTTGCTCCACTAGCGCCCACCCCCACCCCACCCATCATCGTTCAATACCACACCCCCACCGACACCCCCCCCCGTCGACGTTCAGGAAACAGAGGGGCTGAACCAAAGGGCTGAACACATAACTTTGCGTGGGCAGCCCTGAGTACCACTCCTGGTACTCATTTGAGTAACTCACTAAGAAAGTGATGTGCTCCCCTGCTAAAAGAGGTTAATATATCTAGTACGGAAAACATTCATTTACTACAGTAAGTAATCAGCCCACCTATTTCATGGGGGTAGTGGAGGGGTCGTGGGAGTTTGAAAAAGTGTTCCTCCTGTCTTCTGGTGGGTTAACGCCATATAACATATAATTTTCAACCAGCCTTGTATCATTGCCAGTTGGGTGGCTCCCTCGCCTGCAAATGATTGGAAATGAAAAGTTTAATTCTAATAACCCCTTTTGATATACCTCAATGCTTAACTCATGTGCAAGTATAGCGTACGTTTCTTAAAATTGTACATATCTTTATTTAAGGGCCTTTTCCAAGCTGTGTTGATGTGATGCAAGGGATTCACTCGATTTATTAATCAACACATCATCTCATGTAACATCATTTTATTTTGTATTGACACCCTTTGTAAAGACAGGTGTGTGTGGCCAGTATGCAAAACAATTTCAAAATTCTAGTATGTGCCAGTTTATAATCTAGATTCTAGAATATGAGTATAATCCAAAAATTCAAGTGAATGAGCTTTCCATTAGCTACAAATAGCCGATTTGAGCAAGAAAGCTGCTGATGGTGTTTATATATTAGCAGAAGGAAATAAGAGTTGACTTTTTTTATATGTCATGAGGTGTTCACTTCCGGAGTGGCAGACATCAAACACATCTAAGAGCTTTCGGCGGACATCAAACACACCTAAGAGCTTTTTCAAATGTATTCACTGTCAGATATGTTTTAGCCCAGGTCTAATAGAGAGGCTGCTTTACGACACGCTGAAGTGCAGAGCAGAGATATTTTCTTCAAACTGACACGCCACGTTGTCAGTCAAAGTCTCAAAGTTTGTTGGAGAAAGATTTAATCCTGAGTCATGGCTTACATGCTAGGGATAAACAAGCATAAAAGCGCGAAGAGAACCATTAATTAAACATATCCAAGATTAATAAACCAAGACAAACAAAATTGTGTTGTGGATGAGGCTTTCAAATAACTCATCCTTAACCAAGCTGCACAATCTTACAAGCATTAAGTGTTATATTTATTCTAAAAGTCATAAATCCTTTATTTTTCGACTGCAGTGGTAGCTGTGTGTAAAACCAATGGCATAAATATTATGTCTTGATTTTATGACACATTCTTGATGAACAATTTCCTTTCAATGCTAACCTTGGTAAAACAAATACATTAGAGTTACTGTGAATGCTTCAAAAGAAAAGCAACTGCGTGCTTTGAAGGATTTTAATGTGAAGCAGCAGCAGTTAAAATTGTACGGTTTGCATTTGTAGTAATCTGAAGGTATACAATAAGATACAGTAATAACAAACTGTAATGCAGGATTCATTCATGCATCATTTCTTGGGAATCCCTTGTGCGTAGGAAGGCAATTTGAATCGAGCATGGTAATGATAGTCACCGCCACTCACATTGGAAACTACAACATTGACGGGTAATTACGGCACTCTAATATTGTACGTCGAGTGGCTGTTGCCGGATATTGTCGACCATAGAGACAGCCAAAATTGAGCGTAATTTCATGGAAAAACTAAATGATAAAGGTAAGGTTCAAACATATTTCTGCAAGTGGAATGACATTAGTGTTACATTTGAGGTAAAGTGTTTAAATGTTTCAATAGCTAGAATCAAGGCAGAGCGAGAAAATACATCCATTTCATTTATATAGCCCACTTGCAATACAGTGAAATCTCATAAAGGGTGCACTGATGCATTACAGATACAGATACTGATATCCTACCTACACTGACTCATATAGCTGGATAACGTATAGGTGACAATGTGGCCACAATAACTACCAGCTGATGTTTAAGTATTTATTTACTACGTGTTGTTTCACAAAGTTAGAAAAGCAATATATGAGTCAAGTCTGATGTTGCATTACACATCTTATAATAACCACTGGTATTGTATGTATTGTAGTTCTCAGTATGGGTTAAAAAAACAAACTGATTTAGGCATCCCTACACCCGATCAAAACAAAGGCATTCTTTTTTTTTTTTCTAATAATAAGAGATACACCAATACAGCTCTATACGGAGTCACATCTCGGCACAGTATTGATTCAGCAAACATGTGAGTGCATGTGTTGAAGTGTATTTCAATGCAGGCTGTGTTTCCTTTTTAAAAAGCCAAAAATATGTTTGTGTTTCTGCACTACAGTACATGTTGATCAACTAAAACGCAAGTTGTTGTTGCAGATAGAGAAACTGTAGGAACTTGAGCACGTTTTAAAGATGTTCTACTTATATTAGAAATGCTGAACAAAGAAAAAGGCAGAAATGAATGTTTGAAGATGTGTTATTTTCTCAAACTGCTTCACAGCCTTGCTGAACTGACAACTGAAGCACGACACATGTCATCTATAGACTGACCAACGCTGCCTCTTTTGGCATTCACCATGATAGATTATTTTTGAGTCCAGGATTAGGTTTAATCTCTCTCTGGGAATCGGGCCCATGAACATGACATTAAAGCGCTGTGTGCTAATATAAGTCCTGGGTCGATGAAGCCTAAATCCTGCATATATGAAGGTGAGGTATACAGCCAGGACTCAGGCACAATACCTCCCTGGCTGTTCCCATATCTCAACCCAGTACAGTGTTATGGACAGTGGAGCGTGGCAAAGGTTCAAGTAAAACACATCATGCATTATTTAGGAGGCCTTTTTACCTCGCTTCGTTTGCCATGGATTTCTTTTGTTTGTGTATACTGTATTTGTGCGTGTATATTGAGTGCAAGAGATTGAGAAAGAGCTTTTGTTTTTTTCTTCAGACAGAGAAGATTGTGTTTGCATTTGCTTTGACAGAGGCTTTCAGCGTGCACGTGCTGAAACCCCTCTCTGTTTCCTCTCTTTGTATGTGCATTGTGTTGGCTCGGGACAGATTGTTCATGCCAAGGCTTCTGAGTGTGCTGCAATGATAATGGGCCAAGGTCAGGAGTGTCAGCCGCAGAGATGAGAATTGGTTATTTTTAAGAGCGCAGCATGGCTCCCCTGGCTGCTTTTAAATGTTAACACTACAGTGAAACATTGCAGTGAACCCTGCGCTCAGCTGCACTCAGCCCCATCCAAAACAGACTGCATCGCCTTTTCACACAAAGCTGAAAAGAGTACGGTAAGAGCCTGCTGATGTTGTGGTAGATAAATAACCAAGTGCCTATTCCAACAATTTGAATTCAATACTGGATTGAAATACAGAAATAGGTTTTCAGGATCAATGCAAGAATATTTTTTCCTCAGTTTTCTTTTCAGTACATAAAATACTGAACTTGGAAGTCAATGTTATTGTGTCCTATTAGAGACCTGTATATGGCTCTGATAAATAACCTTGTTTATAGTATGACCTCCTCCCTATGCAAAACATTAGCATGCAAATTGAATTCCGTCAAATGATCCAAGTATATAGAGATTGAGAAGACAGAAAACCCAATATGCTGAGGGCAAGCACACATTGTGAAATCTTCAACACACAGAAGGAACTTGATATGCAGCACATCTATAACAAAACCCATCTCATTATACTGAACAGTGTGTACACACGCTTATTTTAAAGTGAAATATAAAAAGGATGCGTTGATATCGTTTTTTTGTCAAATCTCACTTGTTGTCTTGCATCGTCTGTTTTCCTTTATCTACCTGTTTATGACTAGTTTCGATTTTATAACGGGAATTTAAGAGAGATTTCTGCCCGCTGTTCTCTTTAAGCCACCTTA